TAAAGTATTTTTTATCACCAGTGAACCAATGGCAATGCACCTTGCATGGGTATAATTATTAGCGTTGGAAGCTTAAATCCGTCACCTCAGGAGATCTACCCAGTCGCGGTCAACAGTGAAGTGAAGAAGAATATAAAAGATTTGCGCAAGAAAGGCCGATCGACGAAAGTGTACATAGGAACTGTCAAGACCGAATGACTACTCGAAGTATCGATATGTAGACAGTACTAGACTGAATTTTTAGATTCATCATCCTTCGCTGGCGTTCCAAAAGTACAGAAACTGATAGCGCTGAGCAATGAGACTCGAATTAACGAGCAATGGATCACTTCCCTAGTTGAATGATCTTAATGGAAGTGGACACCATACAAATTGCCCAGGCAACCTTCTCGACTGCGGAGATCAACAGGCCGTGGTGAGGAGGCATGGGTCGAGTAGGCCATTTCTAAAGTTGCATGCCTAAACGACCGACGACAATGACCTACTTAAAACGTACGCGCTTGACTACCCGTTTTACACACATGGCTACACAATAGCGCACTGATAATGTCATCTCGACTGGTGATAAAACGTTTGCAACAAAATTGCCAATTTCAGTTTCGGTTTGTTTGGCCTGCTTGTGTACCAATGTTCAAGGCCTTTCCAATTAGCTGGCTGTGGTGTAAGGTCACCAAGTTTCTAAGCTATGTAATATCCTCGGGATCACTGCGGCATGGCTACAAGCCGGGATGACGGACGTTGAAATCTCGCTGCTGGGCATTTCGCTCATTAAAAACGACGGCCTCGCAAAAGCAGGAAGGATAGCTTTTAGTATTGAATTAACCTCGAGTAGGAGGTCATGGAGGAAGCAGACCCGCGGATTCCCGATTCTCTCTAATAAGGCCTGCAAATAAAGTGCAGATACACCTGCCTTATAAGCTTGGCGTACCGCTTCCAAATTCTTCATCCGAAATGGATTGCTTTCAAGGCACATTGTTTAGAAACCCCTGCCACAATGGACGAACAATACAAATCCGATCTACAAGAGCTCGTAGCTGGTGTTCCACTTTACAACCACTTCATTTGCCTACTTGGTTCAGAACAGTTGACAGGCCAATTGAATTAGATCTTGTGTTTACGAACGATGAAGTATCATTGATGCATAAACTGCAGACTGACGTCTGGACCTCACTGCTGGTGCAGTCATCAGTTTCAACTTCATCGTCTATGATGGATATATCGAAATGTTAACCCTGAGATGTTGCCCACCATTACACGCTAAGAGTTGTTAGCCCAACTTCTCGGTGCCTTAACCTGGTCTTCCCTCGCCGGATGTCGCCTGGCTGGCTTTCGCCAGCCGATCCAATGAACTAAACAAAGATGCTTCAGAGACAGGAGTTTGCATTGTGTCCAAAACGTTCTTCCGAAGGAACAGAACGCAAAAGTAGATGACTGTAAGTGTAGCAGAATAGTGAGCTTGTAGGGTATCACTGAGACCAGATGCTTGCTTAAGTAAGTAACCCAAAGCAACCACGGTACTCAAATGCTCAGCAAACAGAATATACTAGATCGGTAGAATGTGTCGAATATTCTGTGTTTATAATGAACTATTGTATAAACAGGTCACTAGACTTCGGAAGGTGAGGCAGAGATTTTCTCTACTCCGAACTGCTGATGTCTCAAGAACGGATATAGAAGTAGTGAACGCGTAGCTGACTTGATATTCCCTACATTCCAGTAGGTCTTGCTATCAGTCAATATTCCAGCGTTTGTTGCCCAGCCGCAAGAACTAAGCTAAACCTCTTCCCTACAGAGGCTCTCTTGCAGAAGCTGATGTATCTGTCCAACCACAGCTCCCCGGGGTCTCGATACCAGTTGCTCAAAAGTGATAGTAGAAGCAACAAGAAATCTGGTAGTACCATTGGCTCAGCTATTTCTGAGCCGCTCAGACCAGAACCAGATTTCTACCATCTAGGAGCTGGGAATTATTAGTCTGATTCACTAAGAATAAAGCGCTAAGGCTTCTAACTACCGCCCAGCATCTCTTCTCCCTATGCTATTCGTAGGTCATGGAATCCATCATTACCCATACGCTTGTATGTTATCCTGAAAACTGCAATCTAATTACTCAAAACAGTAAGGCTTCCGTCGACAGGGACCGTGCAAAACACAAAGTATTTTGACCGAGTCGTTTGATGCTGTATCGGATGCTGACTTGATCTACTTGGATTTGTCAAGAGAATGCGGTCCTCTAGATCATCAGATTCTTCTTCCTAAGCTCCAGTATTACAGAATCGGTCACCCTCTCTTGAACTGGATTGCAAACTTTCCCTTTCAATGAAAATTAGTGATTAGCTTTTGGAGCTCGTTATCTTACCGCATGCAATTCGAGTGCGGTGCGCCTCAAATTTCAGTTAAAAATCCAAGATTGTTTGAGGTATTTTTTATTGAACAGGTACAGGCAATCGCTTCAATGTTTTCACCGTTTGCTGACATGTACATTTGGTGCAGGATTCAGTTGAATACCAGCCGGCACCCACTTTAGTGTGACGCAGATATGATGCATCAAGGGTAAACCCTAAACCTGCTGGAGTTCAGCTTGAGCAAGCGCAAGCTAGTCACCATACAACTCCAGGACACCTGCTCCTATGGGCTGGGAACGCAACTACTGCAGCATTCTTCTGTCGAAATCGACCTGGTCGTGTCGGTTAAGGAAGAATTGGCTTGTCCCCGGCAATGGGACGAGGCATCGAAAGCTGGTATCCAACACACCGGGCTGTTGAGTGGAGCGTTCACACAAATAGAAATAATTATTTTCAGACATTTGCTCGCCCCCACATATTTATACGTAATTCCAGGCTAATAGCCATGGTCATATTACAATCGCAATGCTATAGAACAGCTTCAGTGTTGGGCCTTCAAACATGTAGTTGCATCGAGCGTTCTTCCATACCAGCAGAGGTTGAAACGTTCGGGAGAACTCAATGGACAGTATCACACATTACGAGGTTACTTGATAATAGCATACTGGAATTTACACAATCCAAATCAAGTATGCTACTCTTTACTGTAAGTCTGCAGCAGCAGAAACTTTGGAGGTTACTCCCTGAAACTAACAGCACAGTAGAGCCATCTGAAATGCCACAACAATATCATTTCTGTTCATGTATATCCTTCATTGAGCGCTGTTCTAGAAGCCTTTGTTTCTGCACTGATAATAGCCACTGTAAAGGACCTTTGTTTGATATACTCAGTCATCCCGCCGCTCTACAGGATGGAAAATCAAGTCTTCGTCTTCTTCTTCTTCTTAACGTTCAAATTGTTAGTTAATATTTGCACTTTTTAAAAGTTTGTCCACTACCAACCATAAGCTGTGAGTGTATACCTTTCGATTGAGCACGATCATAAGGTCATGAGTCTGTATGTTCTTTCTGTTTATTACATATCAATGGTTAGAAACCCATGATAATTTAGTAATGCCGTTATTGCAGGTAATACGCGCCATCTAGTTCTGAGTGATCTAGCGATGATGACCCTACACCCGAGGACTTCTTTGCAATGAATCTTTTACACAGTTTCCAATTTGTACTATGTTATACGATAGTTTAGGTAAATGTAAATCCGATGGGTAATGTTGTATAAAATAATTTCATATATCCAGGAAAGCGAAATAATTTTAATAAAAGGTGCTATAACAAAGAACACCTTATTTCGGTTTATGCTATAATAGCTACCAAGCAGCCACTCGGTTGTACCGGTTCTGCAGATTTTTTCAAAATATATCAACTTCTAGTGGATGCAAGAACGTCCAATCTTCCTTCATCGATCACGTGACAATTTTGTATCAATCAGTTTCGATGAAACCACGAAAGACTAGATATTTCACCGCTGCATTGAAAAAGTGTTTTTTATTTATTTGCCTCTTAAAAATACCTAGGAGAATATTAGCGTATTTGAACGTTTTGTCTCTCTTCGTATTGTTGGATGTGTACCTATAGGTTTGAAACGCCTATTTTTTGTTGACCGCTTACCATACTAATGATCAGAGTTAACTGTGAGTTATTAACAACGTAAAATAAATTTGTTTCGTTAGGTAGAGTGTACAACACGCATAGCTTTAGCCGTTTTCCCGCAGTTTGTAAGCTGATATGGGTGAAAATTTCCCGTATTTTTGTTCACTTAGCTCTCTACTAAACGCTGAGTAGACAAGCAGTCGTAGTGTGTCATTCGCATTTCCAAAAGTTCTGCAGCATATCTTCGTATTTAATTTCTGCATACTGTGTTGGATGAGGTGGTCCTAGCATATTTTTCACATTTTCTCACATCACCTAATAAATGATGCTTATTTATGCTAGGTGATGCTAATTGGGGTATAGAGTTTGCGAGGATTTTAGAGAGTTACAACTGCCGCTACCACCCGTGCACATTTCACTTCCCTTTGTCGATTACCGGCCCGGCTGTAGTTTTCACACTCGCCAACGCACGCCCACACGTTGAATTGTGAACAATTTCCACACCTGATTTTTTGAGCAATGGGGCTCTGACTCATAGGCTCATTAATTTCCCGATTGGTTGGTTGCGACACCCACTAGGCAGAACAACCATAAGTATTCGCTGAAGCTGATTGTTCCGCTCTAATATCAGTATTGCTTTTTGTCAGGGATCCATATGCCATTGTCATTTGGTGAGTTGGCTTGTCAACATCGTTTCTAAACAACACTTTTAGTCATAAAAAATTCCCTTTTAAATACAACCGAACTGTAAACTCATATCTTTTGTGACGTGCAGTGTCTTTTTTAAACCACTTGTGGGCCGAAATATGTTAACAATAATAACTTGATGCTTCCCAATTTACGACAGGTGACGTTAGTGCTAATTGATGAGCTATCATTTTTACGTCAGTTTTATACTTAAACTAGCTTACATCTGAACCTGTCCAATACCTTGATTATTCTGTTGTGACTTCCGACAGCTGAAATGGTGATCATTTAAGATTGTATGCTGTCTATGCTACTGTCGTAACACCAAGCTGCGAGGTCATCACTTAAAACTGACCATAGGGTATAGCCTGCTGGAATGTCGTCACGACGTCTTCTTTTGTGTATGTGAAACGCTCTTCCAGCGTACGATGTTTGTGTCTTAGTCTAACGAAATTTAAAAGAAAATTTGACGCATTTTTGTACCGTTCTTATATCACTGCATTAATTCTGTCAGAATGGAGGTTTCATAACGCAACCAAACGGCATGTTTCCAAAATCCGACGAGGTGAATTTCCACTCAGTACCGTGGGAATACCTCGGCGATTACACTTGTGCGCACACAACATTGTTATTATTAATTTCATTATTTTCATCTTTACCATTCAATCGGATCAGTTAAGAGTTCGCTGTTTTACCCGTTATGTAGTATTTTCCTGTATAATGTCAATTCCCTGTACCTGGGTAATGGTACACACTTGTGGTCAAGTGTCTGTATGGACTTAGGCTATCCAATAAGAATTCGATGTTTTACTAAGTAGCATGGAACCGACATCTCGCATGCTTGACTTGTCCGTCAGCTGACACCGAAACCAAATGTTACTCGTAGATTTCCTACACAACATAAACAGCAAAATTCGGACCAGCTTGACGCAACTAGTACCCACGCCGTTATTAGCGCAGCAGCGATAACAAGAGGTGTGAAAACAGTATCATTATTTATTATACGGATGCCTTGTATCTACAGTTACCATTCATAATGTGTGAACCAATGGCTAAGGATTAAAAATAAGCCAGCAAAACAATGTGAATGATCAAAACGCCTGCACCTTACTACCAGCGTAAGCTTACGATCGACTTTATTCAATGCTAGGACTATATTTACCTGTTTCTTGGAATATTCTTGGAACCGAGTAGTAATTCATAAATTCCTTCCTTTCTAAATTATAAATTGCATGTAGCTTACGCTATCTCACTTTACCGTCATCCTTAGGTGACAGATAACTCCAAATCATGCCTACTTACGTCGCGCAAGCGGACACAAAAACCAGCACTGTAGGAGCCCGCTGGACAGTGTCTTAAACTCGGTCACATGAATTCAATCCTAGGAAGTGCACTTGTCCAGCAGCGCAAAACCCACGAAGTTAGTTCTATTCACCAGGTTATACGTCATAACTGGGTCTAGGGTACCCACCGTAAGTTTGCATTGCTTTGCAGAAGAATTCGAGCATTTCGTTCAGTCGGCTCATATCCAGTTTACGAGTTCCAGCACATGTCACTCCAAAAAATGGATTTCACTCTCCGTTTCCCTTGTGATTGGACTCATCAGGCAAGTAGATTCATTTCTGGGATTGGAGCCATGAAGTACCTGTTAACGGCTGACGCTATGATCATTAGGCTCCTGAACAAGCATGACACAGCCTATGGGATTGAACACTAAGTGTTCAGTTACCCGCGGTGTATGTACGCGTATCCATTTTTATTGCATTCAAACCCCAAAATGGTACGTTAGCGCATCATATACTTTTACACCATAAGTAGCAAGGATAATAAACTCGTCGCTGTTCTACTTGGTCTTAGCATTTATTAAGTAGACATATACTTTAAATTTTATTTGGAACTTTTAATACCACCAATCCCACCTAACTAGCACTCTGATTTGTTTGTAGATGTTACTGCCCCGTCAACAACATTTCAGGCTAAATATGCTTGCCTAGACTTGGCGTTAGTAGAAGAAATAGTGCCTGAACTTAGCTACGTTTGCATTGCTCTAAATAATAACCTGCATGCGAGTTTCATCCTTTATGGAATCATCAGCCGTGCGCATTCCATCCGACCCTGGTGGGGCTCGAACCCGCAACTCGACTGTTGCCAGTCGGTGGTTGAAACCACTGAGCCACGGGGAACGGCAACGACTATTGTGGATAAGTTACTAGATGTGATATAGCGCCGCTCACGATCCACTGACTTGCACGTTACTGCCATGCAGTAACCGATGGAATGTGCACTGCTGACGATTCCCGAAAGGATGAAACGCGTGTACAATGCTTTTCCAAGCATGTGATGGCTATCTGAGTGAGTACATGTGACGAATTTCTACCTACACCATCCAACTCCTTCTCCTACTCATCAGAAACAAAAATCTCTCCGGTCCATGCGTCAAAATACGTCAGGGCTTATTGTTCTGTTTGGCTTCAACGTAATAACAATGACAACAGTGACAATACGAACCATAAGTTTGACAGTAAAACAGAGAGGAAACAAGCGGAAGGATTACGCGTTAACAAACAAGTAGATAAGTGCTGTGAAACCTTTAATTTCGCCGCCGTGCTACATGCAAAAGCCTTTCTGGCCTTTGAACTGCTTGATGTCGAGCTTTATGTTCGAAATAAAGCCGAAATGAAGACAAATGAACGTCTGGGTTTTTTCTACTCTCCCCTTATCAATTCTTCAACTGGACACCTAGAGGTTTCACACAAATGGATTAGATATTGGCCAGAATCATATTCCAGTGCAGACGTTCGACAACTCGGCGAATTGCATGAGTCAGTCTAGTCAGTTTCTGTCCAACGGACAGTCCTGCAATGCGGATGCTAATTTCCTGCCGAATGTCACGTGGGGGGTTTAGGGCTACTAACTGCGTTCTCCCGCTAGATATTAGAATGCTTCCCAGGCACTGGCGATCAACGATAAGAACGACCGTACTTTCGACAAGGGTCGGAAGCCATTCCTACGACATGAACTGTAACACTTCTCATAATGTAGCGCTGTACGTCCAACCTCCAAACCGCCTTGCGCGACATAAACCACCCAAAAGTGGGTCAAATGATCGCCTCATCTAACCGTTCAGTTATGGCCAGAACCCATAGCATACCAGCCAAATCTTACAGCAGCATAGTGAATCTTAAAGAAGCCAGCTACATCAAAGTCCGTACGCCAGTTTGCGTTAGATTAATAAGCATAACTTGCATTACATCCTGATCAAGTTCCGGAGGAAGCATTCGGTTCCATGGATCTATTCCTTGGTTCATCAGACAGCAAAACGTTCACAGTATTTGGAGTAACTAGGGCAGGGTCAGGTATGAGTAATTACTCACATAGCTAAAGACTTGCAGAAATACGGTTGTCCTGTATAATTCGACTCAGCTGAGTCAACAACTTGTAGTTCTTCCTGTAATACTTTAGATAACACCTAGAGTCGTGATATACACAGACAGTTGTAATAAATATACTCGTCTTATGGAAAAGTGTCTCACAAGAAGGTACAGTAAACCGGGCCGCATGTTCGCTGTAAGCAAAATCAAGTCACCATAGTAGGTCGCCTGCAACTTTGATCCCTTTCACCCATCGAGCAAAGCGCGAGCCTGCGGCTGTTCCATCCATGTCATAATGACTTGGAGTACGTAGATCGATGAGAAGTCGGAACATGATACAAAGAGTTTGGGCTGTGACCTGGAGGATATAGCTCCATTGGCCATTAGGTTGGTCCAACTAGTCAGTTTAAAGTGAAGGCTGTTGGTGGATACTAATTGCAACACACCTGCTGCTGTGTTATCGAACGAGTGAAGAGAATAGGCACATATCAGTAGTTACTGGGATATGACAAAGATGAAGGAAGTTGTCATTGCCAAGGGCTTTGTGCATCTTAAGAGGCAATGTTCATGTCGGATATCATCGATTGTAGTGATTTTGCGGTCCACCCTCCATGTGACTTCAGTAAAAGCTACGCAGAATTGATTGCGTAGCATTCCTCACCTACCTCAGTTGGACGATTCTGAGGGTGGAACAGTTATCCGTCTCTCACTATATCCATGGTAACAACTAGAACAGAACTCAGTGGACCTACATTGCAATGAAGATTTTAGCCAATGCTTCTAACATTAAAGCAGAACTTTCAGTACTTTTGCGTTTTCACCAACCAGATCCCAAACAAACTGCCTTCGTTTCAGCTGTGAATAAGTTTCTGTGCTTCAAGACATATAACACGCTGGGCAGGCCAACACGTTGTAAAACTGCTACTATTTCAGCTGATCTATGTGCAAACGATGTTTCATTGTTGGATATTTTCGTTCGTAGTAAACAATTTCACGGTTTAGAACAATAATGTTGCTTTACTGACAATCAGTTTTTGTGACATAAAGCGAATTTAATTCGCCTACTGTTGCAAAGCAGGTGGAGAGTGAACTGCATGGACGTATGCTGGAATATCAACGGAATTTAAGCGGGTGTTGTTGATCGAATGACAACGCCGGTTGGGGACTGAGGATTTTGGCACAGGTTTTTGAACGTATTTCTTATACACTGCCCAGTTTGTGACTTCGATTCTGGATGCTTTTACGTTGGATTAGCTGGGCTGTATCAGTATAAGAAGCTAATGTTTAGGTACAAGAATAAATCGAAGCACCACTTCACCCAGCGTTTCCAATAGAAATACAGCAATCTTCTTGTTATATATTTCGGTATTCCCTCATAGCATGCTGGTATCTTGATGAACACTTCTAGTCTACCGATGATTTGCTATGCCGTCGAAGTATAATGGAAACATACTGCATTTGTTATCTGCGTTTTGTTGGCATTACATACTGATGCCATACCTACCAGTCCATTATATGTGAAAATCTGTTAGGTCTTCCCCGTTCAGCTGTTTAGCTTTATCGATTCCAACCTTGAACTAAATATCGTAGACTATATCTAGCTTAATTCGTCA